CAGAACCACAGACTCTGGACTTTATAAAGCACAGATGATTGGACAACAAGTGTCAAAGAAAACTTTCAATGTTACTGTCATTGGTGAGTAAAAAGGCATAGACTCAGACACAGACAATTTATTCTGATTTATTTATGTTTCTCATGTTTTCCAGCTCGTCTTCCCATTCCTGTCATCACCAGTTACTGTCCTCAAAACCCTTCACCATCAGGATCATCAGCATCCAGATGTGTGCTGCTGTGTTCAGTGGTGAATGTGGGTCATGTGACTCTCTCCTGGTACAAAGGAAACAGTTTATTGTCCAGCATCAGTGTGTCTGATCTCAGCATCAGTCTCTCTCTACCTCTGGAGGTGGAATATCAGGATAAAAACAGCTACAGCTGTGTGCTCAACAATCCCATCAGCAACCAGACTCAACATCTGGACATCAGCAAACTCTGTCACACATGTTCAGGTACCATCAAACCATCACTGACCAGCACATCAGCAGCATATTATCAATCATTATATATACGGATATTTATTTAGTTCTTTTTTCCTTTCAGAATGCGTCTGCTGTTGTAATTCAACTGAAGCTGTGGTCCAATTGGCTGTCTCTGCTCTGGTGGGCGTGGCTACTGTTGTTGTTCTGGTTTATGACATCAGATCCAGAAGAGCTGAACAGAAAAGAAGAGCTCTGAAATCATTATCAGACCATAACTGACTTGCTATAACAAGAATAAATCTATCTTTATGTTTTGAATGCCCTGTAACACAACATGGCATCGAGCTCATAACCAATTCTGATTCTTGTGCAATCATATTTTTACTTAACATCCGTTTCTGCAATAAAAAAGTATTTTCTTTCATCTACGCTCTGCTTACTAAACACTTTCTTCTGTTTTTGTGGTCTGGTAGGTAGCAGACCTGTGGCCTGTCAGCATTTAAGCATTGACAGGAAGTCGGTTAGTTTTTTGCGAAGAACTTGCCGTTTAGTGGCAGCACATTCTGTCTTTAATACTGTTACCCACAATGTTCAGAAAGTTATCTATGTGTCCTCAGTTGAGCTACTGGAACTTTTGAACTTATGCACCTTACACACCTTTGTTTGAGAACCAAGTTGACTTTTTAGCAACCCTCAGAAAAACTCTTTTATGGTAGGTTGGTTCCTTTTGTTGTACAGAAGCCTTGCTATGTGTTACATAACCAGGGCACTTATTCATTCAACACAGCTGATGCACCATTAGTGTAAGTACGAGTAAAAGTGTTACCTACTTTGTTATGAAAGGTCATCAGTGTTAATTATGGGATTATGTGTTATGATGATTGTCACAGAGAGATTTCTCTTGATGTTGTTTTAATAATGTCATACAATGCTTTCCTTTGTACTGAACGTAGAAAATAATCGTTAATTATAGCTTTTCTATTGTGCATTTGTGTCAATTATCTTTTAATTATAACAGAATGTAACGTTTACGTAACGTTAGGCTTAATTATTTTTTTTAAAACACACGTGGTATTACAATTAGCTTCTGACAAAAATGCAGTTGGAATTTAAAGGGGTCATATGATGCTGCTAAAAAGAACATTATTTTGTGTATTTGGTGTAATGAAATGCGTTTATGCGGTTTAAGGTT